TTGTTGTTGTTGTTGTTGTTGTTGTTGTTGTTGTTGTTGTTGTTGTTGTTGTTGTTCAGTGATCATATCAATTATGTCCGGGTGCGATCAATAGTCTGGAAATTACAGTATACTGTAAATGTAAACTGTCAACTCCCATCATTTTAAGAAACTTAAGTTTTCTAATTTATTGCTTAAAAGTACAGATTCCTAAAATGATTTAAGTGCAGCTGGGGAGGATGAAGTTGAATCTATGGCCGCCAAGAAGAAGAAGAAGAAGAAGAAGAAGAAGAAGAAGAGGCCAAGGAGGATTAAAATAATTCCATTGATCCAAAACTCACGAGCGATGACCAATTTTCTTTAGTTGATTTTTAGTTGTTTTTTTATTTTGTCAGTTTCAAGTTATTTCAGTGACAACTGTGTTTTTTATTTATTTTTACAAAAAGATAAATTTGTTTGCAAATGAAACATTTTCAACTTTATTGCCTCTTTGTTTCCTTCAGGTGAATCTGAAGCGACCGTGTCCTTTCTGGCCCGACGATGGACACTGCTCCATCAAAGACTGCCATGTGGAGCCCTGCCCTGAGGTCAGAGGTCAAACACACCCTGCCTGTACAGCCCAACACGTGACCAAACTGTAGAGTTCATTTAGGCTTTATCAGGTTTCATGGTATTTATACTAACCTGAATGACGTTCAGCACATTTTTAATAAAATCTGAACCTTTACTATAAATTCTGTTTTCAAATGGGTGCATTAATGTTCATTTAGGCGTCTGTGGAAAACATTAAAACACAAAAAACTTTATCTTACAGAGTCAGGTCCCAGTTGGCATTAAATCTGGAAACTACAACAAGGTAAGAAAAGCTGGTTTTAACTTTTTGCTGTGAAGTTTCAATACTTCTTTATTTTATGTCTTTTAATAGGAGAGGTTTAGGAAATAATTATGACGACTAAATATAATATATTTACATGTGGGGCAGTGAACGGCTTCAATTCACACAATGTGTAGATGTAAATGTCTGGATTTAGTTCAGTGGACGTTGAGTTGATCTCCGAGAACAAAAGGTCATGCAGAAAGACAAGCCTGTAATAATGTAAGCTCTCCTTCTTCTTCTTCTTTTGGCTCCTCCCTCTTCAGGGGTCTCCACGGCGAGTCCTCCTCCACCTCTGTCCTCACTCCACCTCCATGTCCTCTCTAACTCCATCCATATGTCTCCTCTTTGTCTTTTTCCTGAGCTGCGTTTCTAACGGCGTCTAAATGGTGCAAGCTCGACACTATGGATATTAAAAAGGAACATTTTCTGCTGAGTCGCTCGTCCTGTCCACACACAGTTCTTGGTAGTGAAAACTGATACTTTTACACCCGCGTTCCAAAGTGAAGCTTTTTAAAATCGTTGTTGTGGTTTCTCTGTGTGGACGGGACCAGCAGATTTAGTGAAACGAGGACACGGCCAACAGTTTCCCACCTGCTCAGTATTACTTTGTGCCCTGGTCAGATCACGTATATCAATGAGTTGTCAGCAGTTGTTGGACTTTTTAATGTAAAGCTCTGATTTAAATGTTGTTGAGCTGTTCAGCTCCAGATGTGAAACACCTGTCAAAGCTTCAAGGCCGTTGAGCACCAGCTGTGTTTGTTCCAGTTCTTATCGTTAACAGGTAACGTGTGTGATCCTCTGGAAGTTTCCACATGGAGGCTGTGGACCGATTGCGCTCCAGTTTTTACCTGAACTTACGCGTCTCGTAACTTTCCAGAAGAGTTCGGACATCTGGACCGATCTCAGTCACAGATGTTTTTTCACTCAAACACCCAGCAGTTTGTTCTGGACAGAGCTGGACGTGAAAATGTTTACTCTGCTGTATGTGTGGAAAACAGTTTGCAGAGGTGCTTAATCCCATTTGCTTTCCAGCAACAACAACAACAACAACAACAAAGTTTCAAAATCATCAAAGAAAGTGACAGAATGTTTGAAGACGAACGGCGTGACATCCTAACCTTCTCCCTCCTCTCTGTAGTTTTCCCAGGCGTCCAGTTCAGTGTCTGACGTGTCTGAGTGTGAACAGGCCAAAGAGCTGGGGGCCATCAACAGCACCCTGAGGTGACCCACGCACCCAGAACCCCCAGACCCTTTACTTCAAGCCCTTTCATGCAACATTCTGAATATTCAGACGGTTCAAGTTATTGTTATTTACTGTAAATGCAGCTAACTGTTAAAGATAAAAGGGAAAAAACATATTTTATGATTTTTAGAGAAGAATTAGTTGTTTAGAATAACGAATGTATTAAAAAATAGATTAATAAAAAATAGTAACTTGTTTAATTCTACAGGAGTTTCTTCATTATAACATAGACATGAAAACCATGGATTATTAAAACAATAATAAAAGGAACAAAAAATGTCTTTTATGATTTTTAGAGAAGAACTAGTTGTTCAGAATAACTGATGTATTAAATAATAAATTAATCAAAATAAAAAATAGTAACTTGTTTCATTCTACTGGAGTTTCTTCATTATAACATAGACATGAAAACCATAGATTATTAAAACAATAATAAAAGGAACAAAAAAATGTCATGTTTTAGAGAAAAATTTGTTTAGAATAACTGATGTATTAAAT